CCCCGGATTTCTGACCAGGACTTGAAGAATCTGAAGGTGAGGCTGCTCCCAGAGCATTCAGCCCACTTGCTAAATTTAAATTCAATGCATACTGGGGAAGATTATTCTGTCCCGTTGTGGCTCCTCCTATACAAGCATGGTTAATATAGTCCTGTTAACTCTTGATTCCCAGGACACTGATTTCAGGTGCTGCTAACAGGAGAAAGGAACAACAGGACTTCCCTCCCCAGCAGCATCTGGGTAGGGGACCCAAACCTGGCTGCTTAAATGTTGAGGCTGGAGGAGGGAAGCTTCAGACTCAAAGCTTTCATCTCAATGAAACTGTACCCCAAGGTCTCTCTTGAGATGAGCAGCAATATCTTGCAATCGTATTCTGCATGTCTGGAGGTGATGGCAGAGGCAAGACAGTGAAGGTCAGTAGTGACAAATGTTCCCAGAGGCTCAGGCAGGAGGCTGGTTTCTGTGCATTTGGAAGCCAGTAGAGCGAGACTGGCTTTAGTGAAAGCTGGCCGTCTTCTCGTACTTCTGGAGACCTAAAGGATTGAGCCTTGTTTTGCTATGTGAAAGATAAACTGTCCTGAGTTCAGCCTGTACACCTCTACCCTCCCTAGCCCCCCTCCCCTGTCTCCCTGGCATAGTCCACAGCTATGCAAAAAGGGTTTACATGTCCACATAGGTACATTCCCTGGCTCCTTGACCCAGGAAGTGAAAAGGGCTGCCTTTTAAACGGTAGCAGATGAGACTAATACTAGCACTGATAACAGGATCCAACAGGAGCTTGGCTCTAAAATGTTATTGCCTTCCTCTTTTTCAGCATGAGGCGGGAAAGGCAAGACAGAACATTATTATCCTAATTAATTAGTGCCTTGTATTCATGGCTAAAAATAGCCCTGGCTTGCATCCAGCCACCGTGTTAATATAAACCAGAACTGGCCAGAGCACTGCTGCCTGCCTGCACTGGCTGGGGTGGGTTGATAGAGTTCATGCACCAAAGGCAGCTTTTTCTCACATGCTGGTCACCCCTTCCTGCCTCAGACACTCAACACCACTGCTCCAGGCACAGTCTCTTCCATTTCCCCTTCCCCCTTTCCCTCTGCAGCCCTCAGCATCCTTTCTCCCCCTGCAGAGCAAGTTCTTGGACTCCTGCATGACTCATTGCTAGACTAAACCAGGCCCCCTCCCCCACATCCTGCAGCATCGCAGCATGAAGAGAAGAGCTGTTCCTTTGCTCACTAGCAGGGAACAGCAGTGGCAAGGGGCTAGGACCAAGACCTCCACGCTTCACCTGGTATAGGCCTGCCCTGGAGAGGCTGCTGTAAGTGGGGCCAGGATGAAATAACCTGAATTCCAGGAGTGATGAGGCTGGTACAGCATTGCAGCTCAGAACTAAGTGGTCAGATGATGATGTTACCAGTTCATGCCTGTTCAGGGACAAATGTCTACCTTCCAGCTTTGGGGTGGTTGGCTGTAGCTGTGTTGGTCTAAGGACACCACCAGACTAGGTTCTTTGGATAGACATGATTGCTTTTATTAGAGCAACTAAATAGTTGGAAAAATTGTTCTTTGTAAGCTTTTGGGCACAAAGCAGAAAGGTGTTTTCCCAAAAGCTTGCAAAGAACAATTTTTCCAACTACTTGGTTGCTCTAATACAGGGGCAGGCAACTATTTTGGGCAGAGGGCCACTTACTGAGTTCTGGCAAGCCATCAGGGGCCACATGACAGGCAGTCCAGGGCAGATAAATATTTAATTTTTTAAAATGTTTAGGGGCCGCATGGGCCAGATTAGAATGGCCTGGCAGGCTGCATCTGGCCCCCAGGCTGCATTTTGCCCACCTCTGGTCTAATAAGATCACATCTACCTTTTAAAAAAAAAAAAAAAAATCTTGTCTGCCTTCTAGCTAGCACTAGCAAGCCCAGCAGAAGGCAGTCTCATCCTGGTGGACCTTAAGTCATGTGGTATGTGGATGCTGCTCTTTCCCCTTCATCCCTAGCAGTAGCTCAGTAGGTCAAGGTGAGACATTAGGAGGGAAACCTATGCTGTAGATGCTCATATTGAGTGG